TATTCCAACTAGTAGTGCTGATCATAACACTTCTATTAAGATGCTTAAAGAAGTTATTTTTCCAAGATTTGGAGTCCCTAGATATTTAATGACTGATGGTGGTTCACATTTTATTCATGGTACTTTCCGTAAAATGCTTGCTAAATATGATGTTAATCATAGAATTGCATCTCCTTATCATCCTCAGTCTAGTGGTCAAGTAGAATTGAGTAATAGAGAGCTCAAATTAATTTTGCAAAAGACTGTCAATAGATCTAGAAAGAATTGGTCCAAGAAACTTGATGATCCATTATGGGCCTATAGAACTTCATATAAAAATCACATGGGTATGTCTCCGTATAAAATGGTTTATGGAAAAGCATGTCACTTACCTCTCGAACTAGAACACAAGGCATATTGGGCTATTAAAGAGCTCAATTATGATTTTAAACTTGCCGGTGAGAAGAGGTTATTCGATATTAGCTCACTCGATGAATGGAGAACCCAAGCATATGAAAATGCCAAGGTGTTTAAAGAAAAAGTTAAAAGATAGCATGATAAAAGGATACAAAAGCATGAGTTTAATGTAGGTGATTATGTATTGCTATACAACTCTCGTTTAAGATTTTTTGCAGGAAAACTTCTCTCTAAATGGGAAGGTCCTTACGTTATCGAGGAGGTCTATCGTTCCGGTGCCATAAAAATCAACAACTTCGAAGGTACAAATCCGAAGGTGGTGAACGGTCAAAGAATCAAACATTATATCTCAGGTAATCCCATAAATATTGAAACCAATGTTATTGAAACCGTAACTCCGGAGGAATACATAAGAGACACTTTCCGGAACGTTTCAGACTCCGAAAAGGAATAGGTATGTGGTACGGTAAGTAAACCGACCCAAAACAGTTTTTAAGGCAATATTTCTCTGTTTTGGAATGTTTAGAAAAATAGAAAAATAAGTAGCAGTCCGGGAAGGACACGAGGGCTCCACGAGGGTGGAGGGCGCGCCCTACCCCCCTGGGCACGCCCCCTACCTCGTGGGCACCTCGTGCGCTCTCCGGACTTCATTTTCTTACACGACACATATTTTGGTCGGTAAAAATTCATTATATAATGTCCCGGAGGTTTTGACTCCCGTATCACGCAAAATCCCCTGTTTTTGTTTCGAACTATTTTTCTGACAGATCCAGGTCGTCATGTCGTCTTCAAGCGCCCCCAAGGACCAGTTCTTCGAGAAGTTCATCAACCCCTACCTCGCAGAAGTGCTGCAACACCCTCAAACCATTGAGATGCGTGAGGGGTTGTTGCACATCTGCGATGCTGGGGGACCAAGAAGACAGGAAGCACGGAGGCAAGGCTCAAGGCATTGGAGCAAGAAGTGTTCAAGTGTCAGGAGATGGTGGAGCATGGACTCGATTCCAATCACATTATGATCACGGAGTTCACCAACAACCACAAGCTGGACGTTAAGGACATTGGGGAGGCCATCTTCAATCTTCATGAGAAAAATGAGCACCTCCAAGCCCAAATCTATGACCTGCAAAATCAAAACTGTGAGTATGAATATAGATTCAAGAGGATGAGTTTGGCTGCAAATTTGAGGTTTCAGGAGACTCGGCCATCCTTCTATGATGGTGAGCCTGTGCCTTGGAAGAAGGACGACAAGCCTACGCCATCAACAAAATCACCACCGTCTCCACCAACAAAGAAGAATTGAGTATTTGGTATGGGCACTCCCCTTGGCAACTGCCAAGCTTGGGGGAGTGCCCCGGTATCGTATCACCATCACTTTTATCTTTACCGTTTTTCTTAGTTCAATCTTTTTGGTAATATCTTGATCTAGTAGAATAAAAGTTCTTAGTATGATCTAGTCGTGAGTTTTGCTTTATAACTCCTCTATGTAATCGAGTCCGTGAGCTATATAATAAAGATTAGTGTTGAGTCAAGGGCTTGATTATTTTGCCATGATCCTAAGTTAATAAAAGAAAAGAGAAAGAAACAAAAAGAAACAAAGAGATCATATGGATCTTATGGAGAGTAATGAGCTCACATAGAAAAAGTATGACGAATAAAAGTTGTTGAGAATTGACAAGCATAGTTTTGGTCATCATTGCAATTAATAGGAAGTAATAAAAAAGAGGTCTACACATATAGATATACTATCTTGGACATCCTTTATGATTGTGAGCACTCATTAAAATATGACATGCTAAAGAGTTGACGTTGGACAAGGAAGACAACGTAATGGGTTATATTTTCTTACATCTGAGATAAATTATATTGTCATGGATCATCCAACATGGTTGAGCTTGCCTTTCCCTCTTATGATAGCCAAATTCATCGCACCAAGTAGAGATACTACTTGTGCTTCCAAATACCCTTAAACCAGTTTTGCGATGAGAGTCCACCATACCTACCTATGGATTGAGTAAGATCCTCCAAGTAAGTTGTCATCAGTGCAAGCAATAAAAATTTCTCTCTAAATATGTATGACTTATTAGTGTGGGAGAAATAAGCTTTATATGATCGTGTGATATGGAAGAAATAAAAGCGACAGACTGCATAATAAAGGTCCATATTACAAGTGGCAATATAAAGTGATGTTCTTTCGCATTAAGATTTTGTGCATCCAACTATAAAAGCGCATGACAACCTATACTTCCCTCTGCGAAGGGCCTATATTTTACTTTTATCTCCTACCCTGCATAAGAGTCATGGTGATCTTCACCTTTCCTTTTTACATTTTATCCTTTGGCAAGCACAGTATGTTGGAAAGATCCTGGTATATATGGCTAATTGGATGTGAGTTTTCATGAACTATTATTGTTGACATTACCCTTGAGGTAAAACGTTGGGAGGCAAAACTATATGCCCCTATCTTTCTCTGTGTCCGATTAAAACTCAATACCCATAAGTATTGCGTGAGTGTTAGCAATTGTAAAAGACTATATGATAGTTGAGTATGTGGACTTGCTGAAAAGCTCTTATACATTGACTCTTTCCTATGTTATGATAAATTGCAATTGCTCCAATGGCTGAGATTATAGTTTGTTAGTTTTCAATGAAGTTTATGATTCATACTTGAAATGGTGATTGAATTATCACTCTAGCATAAGAAATCATATGACAAGAATTATATAAGTTGCTGTTCTAAGAATGATCATGATGCCCTCATGTCCGCATTTTTATTTTTATTGACACCTCTATCTCTAAACATGTGGACATATTTTTTGATTTCAGCTTTCGCTTGAGGACAAGCGAGGTCTAAGCTTGGGGGAGTTGATACGTCTATTTTGCATCATGCTTTTATATTGATATTCATTGCATTATGGGCTGTTATTACACATTATGTCACAATCCTTATGCCTATTCTCTCTTATTTTACAAGGTTTCCATAAAGAGGGAGAATGCCGGCAGCTGGGATTCTGGGCTGGAAAAGGAGCAAATATTAGAGACCTATTCTGCACAGCTCCAAAAATTCTGAAACTTCACAGAAGACGTTTTCAGACTACATAAAAAATACTCAGCGGAAGAAGTTCACCAGGGGGGCCACACCCTGCCCATGAGGGTGGGGGGCACGCCCTACCCCCCTGGGCGCGCCCCCTACCTCGTGGGCCCCCTGGTGGCCCTCCGGTGGCCATCTTCTGCTATATGAAGTCTTTCGATGGGAAAAAAATAACAAACCATCTTCTCGGACGAAATTCCGCCGCCATGAGGCGAAACCAATCTAGGGCTCTGGCGGAGCTGTTCTGCCGGGGAAACTTCCCTCCCGGAGGGGGAAATCATCGCCATCGTCATCACCAACGCTCCTCTCATCAGGAGAGGGCAATCTCCATCAACATCTTCATCAGCACCATCTCCTCTCAAAACCCCAGTTCATCTTTTGTATCCAATTCTTGTCTCCAAGTCCGGGATTGGTACTAGTAGGTTGCTAGTAGTGTTAATTACTCCTTGTAGTTGATGCTAGTTGGTTTAATTGGTGGAAAATCATATGTTCAGATCATGTATGCATATTAATCCCCCTCTGATTATGAACATGTTTATACTTTCTGAGTAGTTACGTTTGTTCCTAAGGACATGGGAGAAGTCTTGCTATTAGTAGTCATGTGAATTTGGTATTCGTTCGATATTTTGATGAGATGTATGTTGTCTCTCCTCTAGTGGTGTTATGTGAACGTCGACTACATGACACTTCACCATTATTTGGGCCTAGAGGAAGGCATTAGGAAGTAATAAGTAGATGATGGGTTGCTAGAGTGACAGAAGCTTAAACCCTAGTTTATGCGTTGCTTCGTAAGGGGCTGATTTGGATCCATATGTTTTCATGCTATGGTTAGGTTTACCTTAATACTTTTGTTGTAGTAGCGGATGCTTGCAATAGAGGTTAATCATAAGTGGGATGCTTGTCCAAGTAAGAACAGTACCCAAGCACCGGTCCACCCACATATCAGATTATCAAAGTACCGAACGCGAATCATATGAGCGTGATAAAAACTAGCTTGATGATATTCTCATGTGTCCTCTGGAGCGCTTTTCTCTATATAAGAGTTTGTCCAGACTTATCCTTTGCTACAAAAAGGATTGGGCCACCTTGCTGCACTTTATTTACTTTTGTTACTTGTTGCTCGTTACAAATTATCCTATCACAAAATTATCTGTTACCACTTATTTCAGTACTTGCAGAGAATATCTTGCTGGAAACCGCTTATCATTTCCTTCTGCTCCTCGTTGGGTTCAACACTCTTACTTATCAAAAGAACTATGATAGATCCCCTATACTTGTGGGTCATCACCCCCCTACCTTGGGCGCGCCCACTAGGCTTGTGGGGTCCGTATAAGGCGGTTGGTGCCCTTCTTTCGCCACAAGAAAGATAATATCTAGAAGAAAATCCCTTCAAAATTTTAGCTCAATCAAAGTTACATATCTCCGAGAAAAGGGCTAGAAAAAAGTTACGCGAAATAGAAGAGAACACACAGAGAGAGAGATCCAATATCGGAGGGGCTGCTGCCACTCCGCCGCCATGGAGGTCATGGACCTGAGGGGAAACCTCCTCCCATCTAGGGGGCCAAGAAAGAAGGAGGAAGGCTCTGTCACCCTCTCTCCCAGTGGCGCCGGAACACCGTCGGGGCAATCGTCATGTGACGGCAATCATCATGTGGAATTCTGTTTCATCGACCCCCTAGTGTTTCTGGAATATCTGGGTATTTATAGAGCTGAGAGGCGGTGGAAAGGACCTCTGTGGGTCCCACCACCCATGAGCCCATGGCGCGCCCAGGTGGGTAGTGGGCCCCACTGGCCTCCCCTCTGGCACTTTCTTGGCTCCCAAGTTATTTTTGGCAGAAAAAATCTCTAAACAGTTTCGCTGCGTTTGGACTTCGTTTGATATGGATATTATGTGAAGTAAAAACCAAGCAAAAAACAGCAGTTGACATTGGACATTATGTCAATAGGTTAGTCCCCAGAAATGATATAAAGTTGCTATAAAATGAATATAAAACATTCAAAAATGATAATATAACAGATGGAACAATAAAAAAATATAGATACATTGAAGACGTATCAACGATGGAGATGCTTTGGTTCTTCGTCCTTCCTATTTCACAAAGCTCTCTTATAGTGATGACAACCTTCTGTCCGACCTTCGGACGACTGTGGAGCATGATGTGCGCAACACACTTGATTTTTACACGGGTAGTAGATAGATAGACTGTAGATTTTTGAGGTGTGTTTTAGTGAACTTGCTACTTGCTTGTTGGATGGGTCCCACAAAAAAAAAGGAAATGCGAACCCATCTGTGATTGGATGGTTAGAAGAACGGTGATGTCCTAATATCACCAGAATTTAAGTCCTAAACTTGACATTAATACTTTCATCATTCCTGAATTTATTTCAGGCTTCCGACTTTGTTCATTCAATGGGAGGATACGATTCCGTCGACTGCAAGGCGCCTGTGGTGACTTGGTAAAATCTCAAAATACTATGCCAGCTCAATCTCTGGGAGGTGCTCGCAGGGGTAACGTGTGCATGCGTTTATAGGGGTAGTGTATGCTCGTGTATGTGAGCGATTTCGACTGTACTACGTTTAAAAAAATGGAAATTGTTTTTTTTAGGGGTAGAAGAGGAATTTGCTTTTGAGACAATTGGTGCGGGGCGTGGGCGTGGGATGGATGCAGCGCGGGGTGGGCTGAAATTTCCCCAAAACTTTCGGCTTCTCTCCCCCTGCCGCCCGGACCCGGTGGGGAAAATCTTTCCCTCTCCTCTCCGCCGCCTGCCCGCCCGCTCCCGCTTCCGCCGTCTCCAATCAATCCCGCCTCCGCCGCCTACCCAAAAGAAACCCTCCTCCGCGGCCCCGGCCCCCCGCCGCCGCGTCCGGGACTGAGCGAAAGTGAGGTCGGGCCAGGCGTGGCCTGGGAGGGGTTTCGGATGCTGCTGGCAGCAGTCTAATGGCGCAGGCCGCCGTCGAGCCCGCGGCGAGCGGCGGCGCGTTCATCCAGAGGCCGGCCGAGGCCCCGAGGATGAAGCGGAA